TCGGACTTAGTTTCGAAGTTATGGGCTTTGGAAGTTAGCAATTTTATGTTTTTTACGCATGAGCGCAACGTTGCGTTTATCACTCATACTTATTTTACTTTATATGGCCATCGAGTCCGGCGACCAGAGCCGGGGGTCTCTTGAGTTTAAAGACATGAGTCATTTGTGTTAAATCAGTTTCAAATTACTTGTTAGGTCACTCACCTCTTGAGGGTGCTCTTCCCCTCCCGCGACCCCGAAGGTGTCGCCTTCCCCCCTCCCCACAGGTTTGCTATTTTGGCCCCGGGGGGTTTGGGGGCCGAGCCCCCATCCAACGAGAGGTCCGTAGGACCTCGAGTTTGGCGACCAGAGCCGGTAGGCGAAGGGAGCGACTATCTACTTGTAACAATTGTTAGACCCAAACTTGATCCCTATACTTTAATTATAGCGTTATGARTAAGCGTAAAAAACACAAAATTTYRAATTTCAAAAATTGACTACTTCGAAACTAAGTCCGACCGATAAATTCTGAAACCACCATCGTTCTTAACTGATTAATGTACGCAAGTTTCAAGAAAAAAAAATTAAAAGAATCGTAAAAGACGTGATAAACGCAACGTTGCACTCATACGTAAAAACGCAAAATTGCTAACTTCTAAAGCCCATAACTTCGAAACTAAGTCCGACCGACAAATTTTGATTCCACCATCGTTCTTAAATAGTTAATATAAGTATGTTCCAAAAAAAAATCGAAAATTTTGAGGGGGGTGGTAAAGTGCATTTGTTCACTGTACAAAATACATTTTCCAATATTTGAGATCAAAGTACTCAAAGTTTTTAGTGCATATTTTTGCATATTTTATATTTTCAGCTCAAATTTCGATGATTTATCGAAAATCGAGCATTTCAGTGAATATTTTTTAAAAATCAAAGTCCACAATAAATTACGCTATCAAACTGTGAATTCGTCATTAATACGAAATAAACTAATTTTTATCTTAATATTTAATGGTCATTGTGTAGATTAGATTAAATTGTGTTTTAAGTTGATTTTTAAATTTGTATACAGTAAACTTTCGTACGATAATTATTTAATTTTAAAGCATTCACCGTATTATATGTATTAGATACGTTTTATCTTATGTATGTTTTTATTTAAACAATACTATCAATTTAAGTAGGTAAGATAAATATCTGAGAATTACTTAACAATTATTATTTTAAAATATATTTTAATTTTTTGTTTTATTAGCAACAGCATAATAAGAACGAGATCTGTATTGACTGTATAATAAAATTAAATAATTTAAATAGTTACTTTTCGGTTATCGTACCCCAACGGTCGGCCGGCCGACTGCGGTGGAGTTCGGGATATACCGATTCCGCTATCGTACCCCATTATATTCATCTCAATGCCCCCATCATAAAAATATTTTTTATTTAYAATAATTTTTTTGGTATTCATATTGTATTGGTATTAATATTTTATTATAATTTCTTTGTATTCATATAATTTCATATTATACCTATTATTTTATTAAAATAAATTATATTTTTGGCAATGAAATAGATAAGTGTCAAATAAGATACAACAATTTTACATTTTGAAACATATAATATGCTTATCATGGCCACATAGTCTTATAAATTTCCACCTAGTGCATTTAAATAATAAATATAAACATGGTAGACGATGTTGAATTATTTTTATAAGACACTTTAATTTACGTTAGTCATGGAAATATGTGAATTGTTATCGTCTATTTAGTTATTTGTAGATGCGAAAACAGTGATTGAACTAACTAACTGAAAAAAACTAAACAACGTTAAAAAATATATTTCAAATTAATAAGTTTTTGAGGAAGAAGATTTAAATTCAAAAATTATATTTTGTAAACTCTCTTGATGTTCGAATGGTATTTTATCAATAAACTTCCGTGTGTACTTATATGTTAGGTATGTGATAATTTATTAATGACAGAATATAATAGGGCTTACATATAATTATTTATTAGTCTTTTATCACGTGTGTAAAGTTCAGTGATCAAAGTCTATGAGATTAATATATTATAAAGCGGTTATACGGAAATCACTTATCTACATTTTAGATTCTGAGCGGAGCGATGAATGTATTGATTTTATCATGATGTGTGTGTTTTTTTTT